CTCGTCTTGTTTCTTTTGCTGTTATTGTATTGCTGCCATTAAGTCTGCTTGGCTGTAGTTTGATTTGCCGCTTCTCGTTTCCATTTTCTTTTTACCCCACTTCTGACACCAATTTGTTACGTCTCCGTTTGTTAATTGATTTTTCCGTAACTTCGTTTCGACGAAATTTTAACGACACAAGTCTTTACTTAATAAAACTGGTTTATTCTTTCCGAATATAACTTTACGATACACTTAATCTCAATATTCGCGCTAAAACAAACACTATAACGAACGAACGTTAACTTCAACAATATCCTGTGACTGCAGTTCAATTACTCACCATCCACACACACATTATCTCGTCACGTTGTAACCCTCTTATATATATACCAGTCTACCCTATCTAATAAATGCTAGGGCATTCATGAAGGAACAAGATAGTTCTAGAAACTAGAGGGCGTGAGAATCACATGATCTCGATGACCTAACAGAATCAATTCGTGTTTAAACGAGCTTAATGCGGTTATATTTACTAATTTTAAATTCAATTCTTTGTGTGTCCTGTCAAGCACACAGACACTGAGCAAGCAAAAGTAGCTTCAAAGACGAGTGTTTTAGCCCTATTTGAAAGATCAGGATAATTTTGCAGTCAATGAAACAATTCCTTCTGAAAATTAAAAAAATAAAATAAAGAGAGAGAGAGAAAATACAATGAAACATTTCTAATATACACGTAGCTGCTGAGAGAAATGACGAAAGTTCCAGGTTCACATCAGCACCAAATTAGCATCAAAATAAGATATAAAAATTGTGTTGTTACATAGGCCTAGCTTACACTCTTTCCTTAATATAGATAATTAAAACAAAACTTCATGTATTTTCTTCTAAGGCCTAGCCATGGCCTGGCGGTTAGAGCGTTCAACTACCCTTACCGAACATGCTCGCTCTTTCAAATGTGGAGGCGTTACAATGTGACGGTCAATCCCACTTTTCGTTGGTAAAAAGTAGCCCAAGAATTGAAGGTGGGTGCAATTGACAAGCTGCCTTCCCTCTAGTCTATAATTTCAAAATTAGGGAAGCCTAGGGCAAATAACTCTCGAGTAGCTTTTCCCAAAATTCAACAAAACAAACAAACTTTTCTTCAGAAGAGCCAGGCTACTACTAATTTAGCTAGATAATTAAATTTTGTGGTAACATTTGTAACAGATTATTATCAGGATTACTGTGATGTAATGGCTGTGGAGCATTATTCTTTATGTGTTGGTTTGTTTAGGATATTCGCACAATACTCCGCAAAGGCTATCTTCTTTAGCCCTAATTTTTAGCTGATAGACTAAAGTGAAGGCAGCTAGGGAACAGTATCCATCACCATTGGTATAACAAAAAAAGACCCCCCCCCGCCTAAAAACTAATTAGGTCCCCTACATTTATTCCTCTTGCGGGCAATTCTTAACTTTGTCAGGCCCTTCTCCCTCCCTCCCCCACCCGCACTTTCGGGAGCATATTTACCGCTTGGGCTACTCTAATCAAATAGTGTGATTTTTATCCCTTAACGATTATAACGGCCTCAAAGGGTGGAGCGTGATTTGGGGGTAACAGGATGCGAGCCATTGAATTCTCGAATTCACAGTCCGGCACGCAAAAGACTAGGTCACTTCAGCCCTCTATAAAATAACAGATTATTGAAAAATACGTACTTAAGAATCTAACAAACGTATACAAATATACACGTAGATATATAATCTGTCATAAATTTTAATGGTTAAATGTATAAGGTCAAAGTTCGTGCCTTAACTTTCCTGGATTTTAATAATGCCAAAATCAGCGAAATAAAAAAAAATAACAAAAACAAACTCATTTTATTTTCCAACAAACGCAAGTTAAATTCAGTAATTAATAATTCGAAAAAAAATCTCAGATGATACTGGGTGTAATGGTAGTTAGCTTATTTGATTTCCTTCTTCCAACTATTGAAAATAAGTTACAACTTATTAATCCAACAAAAAAGGAAGTCTTAACAAGTTCCTAAGTTTCCCACGATACCACATCTCTATAATTCAACGGTTTGCCTCGAGCTGTAAATATGTAAGAACACATAAAACCCGAGTAGTTTAATTAAATTTGGTGTTCCACTTACACTAACGATCTTCAGATAAACAGTAAGAAATTACGTTCCTAATGAAAAGTTCAAGCGAAGAAAATTGGGTAAACAACGCATGAGACGTTGATAGTGATTGGGGTGTACATAAACCTACGATATATCATATTGACCTAAGAATTTTAATGCACGTCGTTTATTTAAAAAAATAAAAATATCGATATCGATTGACTCAACAAGAGAGCCAATGTATGATATATTTTGAACACCTTTCTTTGTTTTAGACTGCCGCGTTGATTGCGAAAGTCTTCTCGCTGTTTTAAGTAATAAACACAGGTTATAGTAGCTGGCAAAGAATCAAAAATAATAGTGTTATAACAGTAAGTACTCTCGTTCGCACTTTTCTTAAACGTCAACTTAGGGTTTTATTATTGCTGAGTTAATGAAGTGACGACTAAGAAATGATAAAAAGGAAACTTGATTCTTCTGCTAGTAATTAACTATGTTGTCCTCTCTACAAACTGTTCAGATAACATACGAGTAATTAAGCCTATTTCTGAAAATAAAAATCTGGCAGATAGTACACAGAAACCTTACTTACAAACGATCGTAAATGATAATCAGTGTATTTTACTGATACTTTATCTGGCTTACTAAATATTTTAATAATAATAATAAATAAATATCGTTACACGTTAATTGAAATAGCATACAACTGTTTGGCTGATGTTCAACTACTGGTTAATAGCAGCGAAATTATCGGCCAATTCAGGTCATAATAAATTGGCCTCAGACTTTAACTGACAGAAATAAGCCAATATGTTTATCAATGTTTAAGTTAATTTTATATTTTATAACTATTATAATTATTTATTATTTATAACCCCATTATTATAGTTATTAGCCAAACTATTGAAAAAGTTCTTTTTGGAAATGATTTTAAGAAGGTCAGATGTAATCTGTCTTATTGTCCACAAACAAAACTTTTTAAAAGGCATGGCATGAACTGTAAATCCAATAATTCAAAAAAGCTTTCCGCGTTTGGGGAACGTTGTGCATCATAAGAATGAAGATTTGTTTGTTTGAATTTCGCGCACAGATACCGCGTCAAGGGCAAGCTTTCCCTAAATTTGAAGTGTTGGGTTAGAGAGAGAGCGAGGAGGCAGCTAGTCAGCACCACCCACCATCAACTTTTAAGCTACTCTAATCAAATAATGGGATTTGAAACGTCAACCCTCCATTTTTGGTGGTGATAACTGGACGAGCTTTCGAGCTACAGACTAGCATGCTAACCATTAGGCCGTGCCTGGCCTACAGAGTGAAGCTAGATCCAACGACTATCTTTCTGAAAAATATTAGCCTAAGAGTTGGCGGTGGGTGTTGTTGACTAGCCGTTTTTCCTTTAGTCTATCAGTTCAAAATTAGGAAGGACGGCTATGCGGGGGTTAACCTTCTTTGTTGCTTTATTCAAAAATTCTAAAACAAGCTGTATGAGCTAAAATAATGAACAAATTATAAATAAAAAACATAGAATCGTAATCTATATAAACAAAATTTGAATCAAAATTAAAATTCCTGGACGCTATCATTATAGATAACAATTATAGATAAACTGTCCATTAAAGTAACAGTTTAGTCATTAACCTCCCTCGGGGGCCTGCTGTTCCATGTAAGCCAAGTAAAGCAGCAACCCGCTTCAATAACCTGATTTATTGCACGATAAAACAATTATATTTAATTTCTTGTCTTTCTCTGACCTACAAATCAAGCATGAATCTTCCAGAAAACTCATCAATGAGTGTGATTCGTTTATAAATTTTGGCTTCGTATAATACAATGATAGGTTTTCTTAGAAAATGCGTGACTTTTTCTCAAGTATGTGGAGTATAAATATAAGCACTGCTCTTTATGTCAAGAAGAACGAACTGATAAAGATCTGATAAAGTTAAGGAGGAAACGTGGAATTTGTAGAACATGGGAGGTAAAATGCAGGTAAGACCGAAAAGCTGATGATTTATCTTTGAAGTTTATTCTTTTAATATCTATGTTATTGTAATTTTATGTTTGGCTTGGTTTGTTTTAGAGCAAAGCCACATTGGGCTATCTGCTGTGTCCACCGCGGTGAATCGAACCTCTGATTTTAGCGGTTTAAGCCCGTAAACTTAACGCTGTCCCACCAGAAGTACTTGCGTTTGGCATGGGTAATCAATTCAATATTCGAGTCCAATGTTCTTGTATATTTTCAAATAGTTCAAAGCACATGTTCGTCTCAAGTGTTCTCCCTACGGCACTTACAACACTAAAATTAGGGGTTCTATTTCCCGCAGTGGACACAGCAAGTGGCCCATTGTGACTATGCCCGAAAAAATAATCAAGCCTCTCAAATGTTATATTTATTACCTTAAAAAATTGTAGACATATTTAGTTGAAATGGTAATGCCACTTACATTGCCAAAACTATACGCCAATTACACCTGTGAGCCTGCGAACATATGAGATGACTTTTTTCTTCTGTTTTTAAGAGTTTTCACACAAGGCTACTTGTAAACTGTTTAACGTTAGTTATCAAACTTCGAAATTTCAACTTCTTGTAGCTGATGGAAGGACCGCTATCTTACCTGTTGTCCTCTGGACGATGAAACTAATCAGTAGAAAAACTACTTTTGTTAAAGACGACTATAGTCCATGAAAGGTTGCTGCACAACCACCCCCATACAAAAAAAATAGACAAATAATTTAACACTTTATAGTTATGTGTTTCTTTGTGCTATTGGTGTTTGAGCGTTGTTATCTCACAACAACTAACCTGTAATAACCTAAGTATTGAAATAATAAGTGTTATTAATTTTACACATTAATCACTCGATATTATTCAGTACGTATACTGCTTGACAAATTGTGATTTTTTTTTTTATCAGTAAAACTATGTATTTTGGTGAAGAAAAAACCTAAAGCCAAATGTATTCCTGTATTCCCAAATTCACTGGTTTCGAAATAAGGAGCATTAAAAACCTTTTAAACCAGATCTCCACTAATGGATCAGGTACTGCATAAATCAAAATGCATTTCTAAAGATAAACACGTTATGGGCTATATTTCAGGACTTCTTACTGCTGACGCTATTGGTTGCAACGGCCATTGGGGATGGAAAGCCAGTCGATAAAGTCGCAGACGACTTACAAGCTGAAGCCACAGGATATGGTGGTCTTGGAGGTGGTGGTGGCCTTGGAGGTGGAGGCCTTGGAGGTGGTGGTGGCCTTGGAGGTGGTGGCCTGGGAGGAGGTGGAATCACTCTTGGAGTAAGTAATACACTGTTTAATATATTTCTAATGTTGAATAACCCTTATATCTGCCCTTCGTTTTCTATATTATCCAGCTTTATTGGGAAACTAGATCTAACTGCCTTTAAATATAAAGTCTGTAATATCCGTATGTGCTGTGCTAGTGCTTGCTTTATAAAACAGTGCTTATTCAAAAAGGATTAGCAGTATTAGTCACAAGTATATTAGACGCCTGATGATCATTTACAGATTGGTTGGATATATTTTAAATATATGTGTAACAAGGTTTTGTATTCATGGTGTATTAAGAGTTCTAGTATCTGTTCTAATAGAAATGAAGTATCTCGTTTATAAGCGTTATTATATTAGAGAAAGTTAGTTCATGTTAATTATTGATAGTAATATAAAAAGATTTAGTTTATTGATCATAAGTAAAGAATAAAGAAGAAAAGTAAAAATAACAAACTTATCTATTATGCACATAATTCAGGTTGCTACTGTAGGCCTAGGAGGACTCGGCGGTGGAGGCGGAGGTGGATTCGGAGGTGGAGGCGGGCTCGGCGGTGGATTTGGAGGCGGACTCGGTGGTAGAGGTGGATTTGGAGGCGGACTCGGCGGCGGAGGTGGATTTGGAGGCGGGCTCGGCGGCGGAGGTGGAATTGGAGGCGGGCTCGGCGGCGGAGGTGGAATTGGAGGCGGGCTCGGCGGCGGAGGTGGATTTGGAGGCGGGCTCGGCGGCGGAGGTGGATTTGGAGGCGGGCTCGGCGGCGGAGGTGGTGGTGGCCAGACAATCATTGCTGTCCCGCTAAGATTACAACTGGGTGGTGGTGGTGGTGGTGGTGGTAGACGTGGAGGCTACCGCGTGTGGTGGGACTAAGGTACAGTGTATTTTATCAGTCGTTTACACAGATAGCTAAGATAACGTTTTCAATTCATAAATTCAAAAGAAAGTCGAAATTTTGGTTTTAAAGAAAGTTGTTTAGGATTCCTTGTACAAGTTTTTCATGCCGAATAACCATCATACAAGGTTTTTATTGTCCTTGAATAACACTAACTTATTCTGAAGTACTGAAAATAAGCCAATATATTAAACTAGGTTCAATTGGAAATTTAAGAACAACTTAGGTTAATGTTATTTAAGGTGTTTTTATAAACATTCTTAGAGCGAGTATAGAGATGTTTCTGATTCACAAACACAGCCGAAGTCATCAGTTAATATTTGTTACTTTTTATAGGCTGTCTATCACACTGAGATGTGTTTGTTGTTAAAAGTACTTTTCGCGCCGATTTATCGAGGATGACAGGCAGATTTATTTTCATTGTTTTTTTTTTCACGAAACATTTTATAGATTCTGACATTTCAGAATAAGTTTAAATAAGCATTTGGCTGAGCAGTATGTCATTAGGCTTATAACGCGGGTTTCGATACTCGTGGTGGCCAGAGCACAAATGGCTCATTGTGTAGCTTCGTGCTTTGCAACGAATAAACAAACTTTAGGGGTGACTAAACCTAACTGAACATAACTCCACAGATTCAACCAGTCCTATATCGTTCTTCCTCTTGAACAAAACGTTTAGAGATGACTAAACCTAACTCAACAAAAAAAACTACAGAATCAACCAATTCTACTCACTTTCTAGCTTCACAACGTAAATGTCTGTATTTATATTAGCACAAAGCTATCGGAAATCGAACCTTAGATTTTTGCGTTGCAAAGTCCGTGAATTTACCGCTGATCCTCCGTTCCAGTAAATATCTAATATTTGATTTTTAAGTGCACAAGGTAAAACAGTGTAATTTTAACTCGAAATGCACGTCAAACTCAGCTCGAGACATTCACCTTAACTTTAAAAACACAACATGAAACTATTACTACATTAGTAAATGGGTGTTGGAACAACCTTGCAAGAACTTAACATTGATACCTATATAAGTGTAATTGATTTGGTTCATGAAATCATTTTATTTTTCTTACCACGTGATTCAAAATTTTTTTCACATTACATCATTTTCTGAGCCTTTACGGTATGAAAGTTTAGAATACATATAAAAGAAATGTCTACTGACATTTAAATTGAAGGTCTTCTAAAGAAATGTAAAGTTTAACCCCGTAAAGCTATATCGTTAAATAGAATCCATGTTCCTTTGAATCATGGACTTCCCCCAAGTGGCACAGTGGTATGTCTGCGGACTTACAACGCTAGACACTGAGTTTCGATACCCGTGATGGGCATAGCACAGATAGCCCTTTCTGTAGCTTTATATTCAATTACAAACAAACAAACACAAAAAATTATGGACTAAACAAAACCAGTACCGTTAGCTAAGCGCCCTCTCTTGCATGTTTTTGTTCCCCAAATCCCATTTTAAAAGAAAAATATAAATCGCCACACAAAAAAAAAATTACAGAAATAAGTGAAACACTTTAATAGATTATTTATCTACTGAAATAGCCTGCATAGTTTAATTGCTGTGAAAACTTTGCAACTACTTCCACCGAAAAAAGAGCATTTTACATAGTTCCGTTGATCGTTTGATTAAAGACAGCAAAAAGCTACACAATGAGCTCTGCCCACCACGGGTATTTAAACCCGGTTCCTAGCGTTGCTGTGTAACAGAGGGTTGAATATGCACCACTAAAAGTATATAATATATTACAAAACCACAGAGTGTACACGCATAACATATATATCATGGCCGTTTAGAATAGTTAATATGTCTGCGCTAGCGCATGCGTGTTCCGTAGTTTTATAGGTTATTAATATATTGTTTCGTTTTTGTTTTCAGAACGGATTCTGAAAGAACGTACATTCAGGAAAAACAAGGTAGTGAAAAAAGAATATTTCCTGCCAGAATTTCTGATCTCTGTATTGAATGTAATATTTAGTGGGCAATAAAATAAACCGTTCTTAGAACATATTATGGAAACTTATGCTCTTACACAACAACAAATCAAATGACTAATTATATAATTAACACAGAAACTTATACCATAAATACTCGTAAATTACGTGAGGTTCAACCACGCAATAATTCACGTAATACTGACGCACCCTATTTAGAAATAAGACTCGGTAAATCACGTATTTTCAACCAATTCGGGGCTACGATCCAATACATTACGTAATGTTTAACCAATTAGGTTAATAACCTAGATCATATAAATAGAATGTGCCACTAAGTATATAATAGCCGTTCGATATGAAAATATTACATAACTATGTTAAAAACAGCTTCATAATTCTTTCATGTTGGACGGATATTATCCGGAAAGGTTTGGTTAATAAGTTTAGCATCTTCGTTTGATATGAGTGAACTGCACAACTGGATCAAGGATCTAGATCCATTTAAGCAGGTTGTTTGATATGAACGATAATATGGTTAAAAATATGGATTCATATGAACAGATTGTACCATTAAGATTATAATCTTGGTTCAATATGAACAGACTACACAGATTACGTTACTGAGTTAAGAGCTGAATCCATACGAATCGGTTGCGACACTAAATTTATAAGCTTGTATCAGTTTCAACGTGTTATATAAAATGGTTAAGAATCTTAACCAATTTGAATAGGTTATCCTCCAAGTTTATATATTTGGTTCGATATAAAACATATACATAATTAGACTAGGAATCTGTTTCTATTATGAGCAGATTGCATCAACACATCGATAATCTTCGTTCACTACCAGTGAATTACAGATGATTGAGTATGTTATATTAAATGGCTGTTGAATATGTAAATCGGTAAGTCACGTGGAACCCACAACCAATACAAGTCGTGATGGAACAGCATATATCAGGTATATATATATATCATTTTTTGACGTTTCGTAGGTTGTATGATGTCACTGAAAACAGGTTGTTTTAGGGAAGAGTACGTAACAGCTGTTTCTGATGCAAAATATTCACAGAATCAGATCATAAAGATATTTTCAGATCAGGAAAGTTGAATTTCCCGGATGGGGATATCTCTTGTATTTAATGGCATCGGAAAACAAACGAATACGGATTAAATTGGGACCCTAGGACTGTTGGTGGACTATTGGTAGACACCGGGACTGTTGGTGGACTACTGATGGACACCGGGACTGTTGGTGGACTACTGATGGACACCGGGACTGTTGGTGGACTATTGGTAGACACCGGGACTGTTGGTGGACTATTGGTAGACACCGGGACTGTTGGTGGACTATTGGTAGACACCGGGACTGTTGGTAGACTATTGGTAGACACCGGGACTGTTGGTAGACTATTGGTAGACACCGGGACTGTTGGTAGACTATTGGTAGACACCGGGACTGTTGGTAGACTATTGGTAGACACCGGGACTGTTGGTGGACTATTGATGGACACCGGGACTGTTGGTGGACTATTGATGGACACCGGGACTGTTGGTGGACTATTGATGGACACCGGGACTGTTGTATAAGGGTGTGAATCCTCCTCATCATTCAAGTCAAATCTTCTGTTGTACAAGGGTGTGAATCCTCCTCATCATTCAAGTCAAATCTTCCAACTTTACACCCGGCTTAAGTCGCTTCACTGAAACACATCTCAGTACATTATACTAAGCGTGTTTAAAAACACCCATCAATAAAAGTGGAAGCTGTATTTATTGTAAAGGGTGTGAACATGCAACTTCATTGCACTAAAACCTCGCACTTTGCGTTATAAAAGTGACAGTCAAATCTCACTATACGATTAAAGTGTTCCAAGAACTGGCGATAGATACTGTTGACTAGTCGTCTTCTCTCTAGTCTATCAGTTCAAAATTAGCGACGACCAATTCTGGGTAGCTTTGCGCGAATATCCGAAACAAACAAACAAGCAGTCTGTAAAAAACCCGGTGTTTATTAGACTTTAACTCTTTAACCATGTAAGCTATAATGTCATTCTGTTGAACTTCGCTAATTTACATTATAAAAAGATCATTTCTAACCGTATTCAATTGTAGAAAGAATCAAATGGGCATAAAGAAGAAGAGTAACATTGCTAACAGCAAGTAAAGTGTAACTAAGCATAATGGTTTAAACGACTGTATTAACATAGTCGTTAAAGTGATGGTGGTTGTAACGGAAGAAATAGTGCTGATAAGAAGATATCACCATGGAAACAGCATTCATAGCATATATACAGATATCTAATAAGAATAACACGAATAAAAAGAGGATTGTTGAGGTTACTTACAATATTATATTTCCATATCTTATCGGGTTTAAATGTATAAGATATGTGTTCGCCTTGCCATATAAATATTCAATCAAGCTGAAATATTCGGAAATACAGAGTTCAGAAATTATAATACTCATTATGACAGGAGTTTTAAAGCCACGGGCGCAAGCCAAATGAACTGATTAGACGATTAAGAACTTATTTAACGATCCCCATTCTCCAATATTTGATGTTAATTTATGTAATAGACACTAATCCATCATTTCAAAACATATCCCATAATGCCTCAAATGAACAACACATTTCTCAGTCTTGTGCCCGTGGCATTAAAGTATACATTATACACTCTTCAATGATGAAAGAATTAGCACAAAAGATGTAGAAACTCGAGCCCTTAAGAGGAGTTCATTATTATTTCACTTCCGACAAAATGCCTTTGTTATACATTCGTGGTATGAAGCCAAAATCAGTATTTTTTATTATCAACCTCTATGTATTCAGACGATATTAAGAAAATTTAGCCAGTTCTGGTCATTAAGGATCTTTACTGATACCAAATTTATGTTAAAACAGACACTAAGAAGGAAAGCACGTGGCGCGTGTTCCCTAGAAGTTAATAAGCCTGCAAATTTACGAGAAGGAAAAAAATGATTAAATTGTTTGTTAAGGGAACGAACGTTAATGATGTACTGGAAGT